TCACACACACACAGACACACACACACACACACACACACACTCTCTCACACACACACACACACACACACACACTCTCTCACACACACACACACACACACACACACTCTCTCACACACACACACACACACACACACACTCTCTCACACACACACACACACACACACACACTCTCTCACACACACACACACACACACACACACACACACAGACAGAGTTAAACACTCAAAAGAACTCTTGATACATGAGAGAACTAGCCGACAAACACGTTCCCCTAACGTTCCCATATGATTATTCTTTTGGCAGCCAAATAAAAACGTTAGGGGAATGTTCTCCAAACCTAATTGGAAAATTCTATTTTTGTACATAAAGTTTCTTTGCAGAGAACGTTCTGGGAACCGGAAACCAATGTTCTTAGAACGTTCTGGGAAGCAAAATGTATCCGCTGGGAATCTGTAGACGCCAAATCAATCTAAATTTGAAACAATTCTCTTTGCATTTGAGTTGTTGATCAGTTCTGTGACAGATAATGTTTCATTTGATTGTGAAATAAATCGCATCTCGCACAAGTGCATTTATACAGTATGCATCTGTATGAAACTGGATCATTAATAGTCCAATTCAGATTTAGATTTGGAATTTTAACGGATCAATGCAGATTGAGAATCACCATTCATTGCTAAATGTATTTGTCAAACAAACACATTAAATACAATTTTTTACAATTATTACATTTAAAATAAATTCTACAAATTTAAATACATTTAAAATGTAAATAATATATTTTAGGTTTTAATTTTTTGTATATTTAAATTTTTTAAATATAAACAACATACATATATTTAAATTATATATATATATATATATATATATATAAATTCTTAATTTTATAAATGAATGTACTATAAATTATTATCATATAATAATATAAATGTTTTTAATTTATTTAAAACTAAAATATAAACAATATAAACATTTATTTTATATGTATATGTTCTAGATTAAAACTAAACAAAAAAAAAACACTATATAACATTTCTATTGTTTTTTATTTTTAAATTATATATGAAAACTATACCAAATCAAGGTAAACAAAAAAAAGAAGAAAAACCTAAAAGTTAACATTCAGTATAATTTAACAAGACATCAATCTGTCGTTCAATTTGCATTTATTTAAAAAGTTACTAACAATCCAAGCTGATTTTTCACATATATATTGGCATAATCCAGAAAGATCAGGAAGTTCATGTATACACCTGAAGTTCATATACCACAAAGTATATGTTAGACATGAAAACACAGCATTAAAACAATGCTGAAACCGCGTCTGACCGCTCGAAGGCTTCAAACACTTATTTACAATCACGCACGTCAAAGTCCGAGCAAAACAGCATGGCATCGCTAATGAAAGGTCTTATTAGCCTATAGCGCTAGATCCGTATACAACACGACTAGCTCAATCAATCAGTCCTTCACTTCTTATTCGAATGTCCTTTTCCTGCCTTCATGCCCCGCCCTCCTTTATGGCTCCGCCCTCCTTTGCCCCACCTTCCTTTTATGGCTCCGCCCCTTCTGCTCTTCCTCTGCGCGGCTCTGGTGTCTTTCTTCATCCGTTACTGACTGATAAGCGGCAGCGTTTCATTTTTGTCCCTTTTTTGTTTGTTTCTTTTGTTTTTATTACTCTGTGGTAATTTTTTCTTGTATTCTATCGATTGCATAAATGCGCATGATAATAAACCGCCGAACTTTACGTTAATTCTCCTGCATGCTCATTATAATATGCAAATACACCGGGCAGGACACCGGCGAAGGATAAGTATCGCTTTTTATTTCTCCTCTTTCCTACTACTTCGGGGGCGTGGCGTCGCGTCGCGTCATACCGTCATCAGAACTAGACAGCGGCGCGGTCACGTGCTCCTCGCATAGAATCCTCCAGATCAAAGATGGCGGCGTACATGCGAGCGTGGAGATCGTTCAGTCCGGCGTCCGGCAGCGCCTCCTCCGCCGCTTCAGTCGCGATCAGAGCCGGGTTAAACGCGCTCCTCCCGCGCCGCTTCCTCCACCTCCGGCGCTCCTACTCCAGCATTTCCAGCAGAAAGTCCTTATGCGACGCCAGGATCGCAGCATCCGTGATGAGTGACAGGTGGAGTCGGGTCACGGCGGGCTCCGGGCGCCTCGGCGGCGGCTGTCAGAGGCGCTTTCTGTTCGGGAATAAGGGCAGCGGCTTCTCTGGAGAGGACGGAGCCGAGAGCAGCGCCGGATCTGCTGGAGACGATGAGTCCGGAGGTGATGAAGGTCCCTACACTCCTCCTCCTCAGATGACAGCGCTCACCACGATGCTTGTGCCCGAGGTCTTCCCGAACGTGCCGCTCATCGCCGTCAACAGAAACCCGGTGTTTCCGAGATTCATCAAAATCATCGAGGTGACGATGCGTGATGCAATCAGGCGACTACAGTTCAGAAGAAGTAGAAACACTACTAAACCGTGACATATGTCGGTGTAGCTTGCATTTAAAGACGTGAAAGTCGATGTTTTTGTGCTTTACTGCAGTTTTACTACTGTGTGATTGACTGTTGGCTGAGGATTTCATCATCCACAGACCGAGTGAGTGAGTTCTCTAGGAGTAGTCTGAGTCGGATTTTACCTGCTAAATACCAGTATTTGGGTCATTTAGGAATGAATAAAACAATTTTGGGGAAAATAAAACACATTTCTTCACACACACACACACACACACACATACAAGAAAAAAAGAATTTGAGAAAGAATAAAATGGATATCACAGAAAAAAAAAACAGAATTTGGGAAAGAATAAAAGAATTTAGGGGAAAAAAGAAGGATTTGACGCTGGCATAAATTTGGCTTGACGTTCGATATTGGGGAAGTCGTGGCCTAATGGTTAGAGAGTCGGACTCGTAACCCAAAGGTTGTGGGTTCGAGTCTCGTACCGGCAGGGGTTGTCGGTGGGGTTGGTGGATGTACAGCGCTCTC